ATATATCAATAAAAATGATAAACATAAAACATAAGCGATTGAACTTGATTTCGCCAGTGCTGTAAACCATAGACGAAAGAGTTCTTAGGTCAGTTTGGTAGGCTTTCTGCTTTAGTCCTTTAATTTCATTAAAAAGCAATAAAGAAGGAAGGACCACCAGATGCATGGTGCTGCTGAGAGGAGCGACTGCTACGTATACCAAGGCGAAACCATTGGCAACTACTCCAAGTCGCAAGTTTTTGGTCCTCTAGAAGCCTGATGTAGAGCGAGCAAATTGAAAGCCAAATATGCACTGCATGATGGAAAATAACCTCATCCCTACTGGAGATTTTTTACGTGGTGCATATTTGCTTTGCTTAACGACTTTATAACCAACATTAAATATGAGTAGGTGCATTAGGCGAAAATTAATTTGGCAAAAGATCTGCAAGATCAAATTCTTTATACTATAAATATGAGTAGGTGCATATCAGGCGAAAATCAATTTGGCAAGACAGGAACGAACCTAGGGCCAGGTTCCAACCACGCGAAGGAAGCAACTGAGCAATTGTAGTTGGCAATATATAGACACATTTAGAAAACTCTATGAAATTGTTCCAAAAGCTAGGCCGAACTATTGCAGTTCAAAATGTTAATTGACTTTGACAGGCGAATGTTATGGTAATTACAATATGATGTAGGATTGTTAACGGATAATAATTATAAAATATCATTAAATAAATATAATCTGTCATTATTTAATGAATGCGTATAATATTATAGGTAAACTCTTAATAAAAAGAGTTAATTATATAAAAATATATTATATTATAAGTTTTCAATGCTATATATATAATATTATAAATATAACAATTTTTATTAAAAAAGTCCATTTTCAGCTTCACTAATTAATCAATCAACTTCATAGAAATTAATGGTTTCTTGGAAGAAAGGGTTTGTTTTTTCAAACCAAATCTCCCCCAAATTAGGTGCAGGATCTATTCTTATGAATCTCTACCAAATCAAGAAAAAGCAAAACAAATCAACTGGTGGCCCATTTCGCTTGAAACCACCCCCATCTTTTGGTTGCAAGTGAAGAAAATCAGATTTTGCATCAACTTCTATTCTTGACGTACATATGTAGGATAATAAAACAAGAACAGTTTTTTTAAGATAAAGAAAATACAAAAGGAAGGTTTTCTCCTTATGCTTGTAAAGCATAAGTTAAGTGTGTAAATTATTGTAATATTTTTATATAATAAATTATTTTAAAATATAAATATTGATCTTATTTTTTAATTAACCATTTTAAAAATTTTAGTATTTTACAAAATTTAAATTAACTTTTTGTTTTTAATTAAGTAATTAAATACAATATTAAATATGCACAACATACAATATTAGAACACCTATTTATAAAAACTGTGACAATTAAAATATCATTTAAGAGTCCTTTATACAATACTTTCTCTCATATCAATATATCTAAAAATGTAAATTTATTATAAATAATTAAATTTAATTAATCTTTTATATATAATAAATATTTTACATTTTTGTGATAGAAAAGAAAAAAAACCTACACCAACAGTAAGGGAGAAGAATTTTTTTTATGGGAAAAAAATTAGTATAATGGAAGAGTGCACATATACCTAATATATGGGCCCCACACACAGCATAATTCAGCCCGTGTTTTGTGGACTACCAATTCTGCATGTCCATATATGTTACACCAACCATAGTGTGTCTCAATATATATGTTTCTTGCATCTTATTCTCCAACTCTCAGATCAGATTGCAAGTTTATCTGACGAAAAACAAGAAATGGAGAGTCAAAACTTGGAAGAAGGGCCGCAGCTTAGGAGATCTTTGCTTGATGGTGATCATCCGAGGCGTAACCTTAATGTTGGTGGCAGTGAGGACAGTGATGTGCAACCAAGGCCAAGCCATTCCAAGGCAACAGTAACCGTCGTCATCAGCACGGTGGTTGCTGTCTGTGGATCTTACTGTTATGGCTCTGCTGTAAGTGGATGCTGCTACTATATATATACTCTAACAATGTATATATATTATCTTCTATATATTGTAGATTTTACTATATATAAAGATTAGTAAGCTAGGAGTGCCAGCAACATGCTATCTAAAGATTAGGGGGAGTAATGCTAGCAACTCTCATTCTGACACTCTCTCAAATATTTGATTTCTTGAAACGTCTCAAAGGTGGTACAAGTCTTTGTAAATCTCCTATAATGTGCACGCAAGTTGGATCAAGATATATATCATCTAATAAGGAAAACTGAAGAGTAGAAATTTAGGGCCTAAGATTCAATGGGGTAGTTCTTATGTCACTTTTCAGTATTGACTTTAGACACAAGAAGAAAAAATGTCACCGGGCTACATTTTATAATGTATATAATCTTGTTAACCAATAGATAAATATATATTGGGCTTAACCAATTTGATTACCTAATCCACATGGTCTTGTGTCTATGATTGTTCAGTCCCAAGAACAAAATCTTCTGTTTGGGCCTTAATCAGCTGGTAATGTTAAGTTATTAACTGCTTCTGTTTAAAGGTTTCACAAAGACACCACAACTAACTTTGAAGGAGTATTTTGTTTTTTATTTGTGAAACTCTAGGTTGGCTACTCAGCACCTGTTGCTTCTGTTTAAAGGCTTCACAAAGACACCACAACTAACATTGAAGGAATTTTTTTTGTTTTTGATTGGTGGAACTCTAGGTTGGCTACTCAGCACCTGTTGAGTCTGAAATCATGGAAGACCTCGGCCTCTCTGTGGCAGCTGTTAGTACCAATAAAACCTATTTTGTTTTATTTTGGCAAGATATAGCTAGGCAAGTGTACGCCTCATTTTTCTTGAAACGAACATGTGGAAAACGTAGCAACAAGGGAATGAAACAGGACTGATGTGGAAATGTACAATTCGTTATTTATGAAGTTACCATTTTTTATGCCAATTAATTTTCTTTTCATTGATTTCATTCTCATTCTGCAGTACTCACTCTTTGGTTCCATAATGACAATTGGGGGAATGTTGGGTGCAGTGTTTAGTGGGAAGATAGCAGATCTTATAGGTCGCCTACGCGTAAGATTTCCTTTTAGCCTAAAAATTTCAAGCTTGAAAAACTTCTAAATATGTATATATTTCCTATCAAGTAATGGGTTGAAACTGTGAGGCAGACAATGTGGCTCTCTGAATTGTTCTGTACTGCTGGATGGCTCGCAATTGCATTTGCAAAGGTGTCACCCTGGCTTTAATTCTTTCTCTGCTCTGATTACTGATTAAAATGAACTAATTCCTTATACTTGAGTTACCATATAGTTTGTGCATAAAAATGTAGATCAACGAGTCACGTATTGTATAGTTAAGTTTATTTTCTTGCTGAAAGGATGTTTGGTGGCTTGATATTGGAAGGCTGTTGCTGGGATTTGGAATTGGGATTATTACATATGTGGTAATTGTACCCCAGACTTTGCATTTCATATGTATCTGATAGACTTCTTTCTTAACCAATTACTTACATTCTTGTCACTTAACGTGTAGGTACCTGTGTATATAGCAGAAATAACACCTAAAGATCTCCGAGGTGGATTTGCATTTGCCAATCAGGTGCCAAAACATTATTGATAATTTTATCAACTTGAATAATCTGTTTAAGAAGCTATGTTAATCTTCAAAAGTTTGCAGTTAATGAACACTATTGGATTCGCAATTGTTTATTTTGTTGGAACCATGATTTCTTGGCGAGCTTTGGCTTTAATAAGTAATTTCTTTCGCTCTTTTATTGTCCAATCCATTCATGGCATTAATAATTTAGTCCATAAACTGTCAGTAAAGTTTTTCGTAACGTTTTTCTTCAGGTGCTATTCCGTGTATAGTACAGATCATAGGTCTATTTTTCACTCCAGAATCACCAAGATGGCTGGTGAGTCTGATTTTCTGTATGCTAGAGTTATTTAGCTCTAACTCAATCCCTTAGAAAAAGCAAAATGCTCAAGAGTTTCCAACTCGACTGTAGGCAAAAGTTGGTATGGATAAAGAGTTTGAAGCTGCTCTGCAACGTCTTAGGGGGAAGGACACAGATATTTCTGAAGAAGCATCAGATATAAAAGTATAAGCTTCATTTTTTTGTTCTTTTCTTGTGCGTTAAGTTAGCAAGAAACTATATCTCCTTCCATTATTTGGCAGGATTATCTCGAAATTTCTCAGGAGGAACCCCAAGCTAGATTTCTGGACCTGTTTGAAAGGAGATATGCAAATTCACTCTTTGTGAGCACAAAAGAGAAATACAATAAATCAATAACTAACAATCATATATTCAACAAATTTTCCGGGCAATTCTTATGGATTAATGTTGAAATTGGTTCAGGTTGGGGTTGGACTAATGATGTTGCAACAGTTCCAAGGCACAAGTGCATTGGCATATTACAGTGGCACTATATATGAAGATGCTGGTACATTTTACACCTTTTAGCATATCATTCACTATTAATAGATTAAGTATAACTATCCAGATAGGACCATGGCACCCTTTTGCTGTGTTGAAGCAACAAAAGTTGCAGTGGAAATAGTAAAAAACAATATTATGATTATGAAGATTTGGTTCCTTGCAGGATTGTCAAGTAGCTTTGGAATGAGGATTTCAGCTGCTATACAGGTAATAGATTGTTATGACTAATTTCAAGTTTTGTGTGCAGATTCTTTGTAATGGATTTGTTTGATATGTCCCAATGAATTTCTAGATCCCGGTGGCTGTAATGGGTTTGTTGTTAATGGATAAATCTGGTAGACGTCCACTTCTACTGGTCAGTGTGATAAAGATTTCATTTCAAACTTTTGATGTGGTATAGATCAATGAGTTGAGGATGAATTAGACTGCTACTTTCAGGTTTCTGCTACTGGAATGTTCCTGTGTTTTATCCTTCTAGGATTGTCATTCTCCTTTAAGGTATAATCAAAATTCAAATATTTTCTTATCATTTATGCCAGTAATTTCCTTTAAAGCATTTCCCTTCTCTCTGAAAAATAACAGCATTCTTTACTCACAGGGACTACCTCATCTGAAGGAGTTCACTCCTATTTTAGCACTCATCGCCATATTGGTATTTTCCTTCTCCTAAACCAAAATAGTTTATCCAATCTGGCCTGTATGGATTACAAAATCTAGGCCCTTGGAAAAGTGGGATCAAGCTTGAGTCCCACTCATCCAAGGGATGTGATGTTACTGGTCAGACTACAAACATCATTCTCTTTCTAAATGAGTGCCATCTTATTCATGAACAACTATTTCACCAATCCATGCAAATCTTGTTGTGGGGTTCCCATTTTCATGAGTAGAATAGTGTCTGTGTGTACATACTTCTAAATTTATGTTCTAGAATTCTGCCAAGCTTCTGGTAACCTCATATTGACGTACATATTGATATCGCAAAACAGGGGTTAAGTGCAGCTAACACAATAGGCATGGCAGGAATACCATGGATTATAATGTCTGAGGTATGTAAATAATATGACATCTATTTGACAAGAACAAATGTTAATTATATCACAGATTTAACTTAAGAAAACAAAAGTTTTATCTTGACTTAGTTTTTTCCTTGCAGATATTTCCTTTAAATGTCAAGGCATCGGCGGGAAGCTTGGTGACCTTTGTCAATTGGTCATGTTCTTGGATTATTACATACGCATTCAACTTTATGCTGGAATGGAGTACAGCCGGGACAATCTACATCTTCTCAGGAGTGTCTGCGGTAACTGTACTATTCATAGCCAAATTTGTCCCAGAGACAAAGGGAAGAACACTGGAGGAAATACAAGCATCCATGACTGGATTTCTTTGACTAGATTAAACACACTTGGCTTGCATATAATAAGTCATAAAGTTCACGCTTTGCACTGTTTATACTTTGGCTAATCATCAGAATGTTAAGAATGGATCAAAGGGCTACAAAATTTATGGTTGTAAGACTATTTTTAATTAGGTGGATTAAGCATAGAGTCATCAGTTATCTGTGACTAATTTTAATTAGCACCAACTAAAGTTATTTGTAGCAGTTGGTTGTGATATTTATATATCAATTAATTTACCATTATGTGGACACCATTTTTTTGCTTCACCTTCTTCATGTTCTGGAGGGCATAAAGGGCACGTTTTTAACGGTAACAACATCTGGCTGTCTGTGTCACCTCCAACCCAGTTTCAAACAAGCGCTAATGTTTAGTTGGTAACTGAAAGTCAGCCTTGCTATCAACCAAAACATGTTCATTTTGTACACAACATTTGATGTTGGAACGGTGGACAGGAGGGCTTTTCGCCGTTTCAGGTGGGTGGGGTTTTCTTCCAAATTGGGATGTTCTCTATCTCCTTCTGCCATTTCCCGTCTGGAGAAAATTGAGGCTTTGCGAGGGAAAACATGGACGAGGATGGGTTACTCCCAAGGTCTACTCTTTTACCACCAAAGCCTCACATGATTGGTGAAGATGACTTGATACAGAGTGACTCTTCAGTTACCCCCATGGTTGTTTTCAGCACCTTTGTTGCTGTCTGTGGTTCATTTGGTTCTGGGTGTTCTGTAAGTACTGAGTACTCTTCTAGTTGCCTTTGTGGGTTTTTCATCTTGATTTGGAACTGTGATTGTTAAGTTGCCATTGCTATTTTTCCTTGTAATTTTAGCTCAGAATATTAGGATGGAACCGAAACTTTTTAGTGTTCTTCCCTTTCCACTGAGATGGCTGGGTACTGGGTCCAGGACCTGTAGAGAGCCAAGGTTTTGGTGTTAGGCTCAAACCTAAAAACAAATATTTATTCGTTGGATGGTTTTTGAGTTTGTGGAAATCATTCTTGCTTTTGGAAAGGAACACTTTTAGATGGATTAGGCAGTGAGGCATCAACATGTGAGATTTGGCTTTGGCAATGAATGAAGTACACTTTTTGCTTAAGCATTTGTTTTTGTCCCACTGAGTTGGTATTTTTTTTATTGCTTTGCAGTCAGGATATTCATCCCCTGCTGAATCCGGAATCATGGAAGACCTGGGCCTCTCTACTGCAGCAGTAAGTATTCCTTTTGCCCTCCTTTTGCTCTTCAAAAGACAAAGTAGTAAATACCAAATACTAATATTGTTCAACCATAATAACTGGACTTGTGTGTTCTTTTGTGTTCATCTTGCTTTCCCTGATAAAATGTCCAGTATCATGATGCATTTCTTCCCAGATTGATGTTGTTCCTCCCTCTGCAGTACTCAGTGTTTGGTTCAATACTTACAGTTGGAGGAATCATAGGTTCATTAATTAACGGGAAGGTGGCAGATCTCATTGGTCGAAGAGGTGTAAGTTTTTTGTATTGCTCTTTAAGGTCAAGTAGAGAAGTACTAATATAAAAATAGTTTTCTCTGTTGCTTTTTAATTTTGAGTACTAATTTAAAAATATAAGTCATTGCAGACTAATTTGTTTATTTTTCAGCAGACTATGTGGTTATCTGAATTATTTTGCATCATTGGATGGTTCTCGATAGCATTCTCCAAGGTAGGAAATCCTATTAATTCGTTTCTCACCATGTCATACCTCAGATAATTGCCCAGATGTTTCGGTTTTAAATTTATACTGCATTCAGTTCCTGGAAGTCAATAGTAGCACTATGGCATAACTATAAAGAACTTTGAGGCCACTTGTGAATTTCCATGGTTCCAGTTGGGTGGAAAAAATTATTGTTCAAGTAGCTGGCAGGAGGTGTGCCTCTTAGATGATCATATTTCTTTTTAAGCTCTTTTGAGAAAGACATCTGAAGTTGGTATATTGAAAGTTATTGTTCTCTTACAAAGTGCTCATATTGAAGGTCATTAATTCTAATGCAGAAAGATAATAAATAGAAAACAATTGTTGTCCCTTGCAGCACTCTGTTATTTTTTTTTTTTTCTATTTTTTTTTCTTGGTTTCTCTTTAGTTTGCTTCTTTTAAGTAATCTTGTTCTTGTTGTCAGGGTGCTTGGTCTCTTGATCTTGGAAGACTCTCACTGGGAATTGGAATTGGTCTGATTGCTTATGTTGTAAGTGAGCAGACTCTGATTTTGATTGATGAAGTTTTCTTTCTCCTTCTGAATCGTTGTTGATTAACTGACATATACAGTATTTGATGATACTTGTGATTTGTTATGAGACAGGTACCAGTGTATATAGCAGAAATAACACCCAAGAATATCAGAGGAAGTTTTACATCAGTATATCAGGTATTGAACAACTATACAAGTAGAGACTGGAAAGATCCAGTCACGTCATTGCCTATAATCCACTAATTCATCAAGTTTGCAGTTCACGATATGTTGTGGCTTGTCACTGATGTATTTCCTTGGAACTGTTGTTTCCTGGCGCACCTTAGCCCTAATTGGTAACTTCATCTCAACCTTAAAGCCTTAAGATGATATATGAGGGCTCAATCTCTAAATCTCAAGCTATCTTTGAAACAAATTTTCAGGTGCTGTTCCATCCATAATTCAAGTTTTTGCTTTATTCTTTATTCCAGAATCACCTAGATGGCTGGTAATTTCAATTCCAAAATCCAAATGTTGTTAGAAATTGAATCAATTCCAATTAGCAGTTATGCTGGTTTTTGATACAAAAATGAAGGAATCACTGGTTGCCTTTCTTTCAGCATTTCTGTATCTGAGCCAGGAAAATGCTAAAACCCTATAACCTGATAGTAACAATTTTCTGAAGGCTAAGATTGGTCGAGAGAAGGAGCTAGAAGCTTCTCTACAGCATCTAAGGGGAAGGAATGCTGATATTTCTCAAGAAGCAGCAGATATCGAAGTAAACTTTCAACTTTTTGTAAAAGACTTCAACTAAATCGAGGTGTTTATATTTTGAAATTTAATTAATTTGCTTTAGAAGCAAGAAATAATGTACTTTGCATTCTTTTACAGAATTACACAGAAATATTCCAAGGGACTTCAGAAGATAGATTTCTGGACTTGTTCCAAAAGAGATATGCCTATTCACTTTGTGTAAGTCCAAATATAGGAAAAAAGAAATGAGGTTGACAATGTTTCCATCACAATTGTTCAATAATTTATTGTTCTAAGGATAATCTTATTGGTTTAGGTTGGAGTAGGGCTGATGGCGGTCCAAGAATTAGGAGGCACAAATGCCATTTCTTTCTATGCTAGCTCAATATTTGAAGCTGCTGGTATGCTACCACCTTTTAGTGTTGCGTCAATACAAAGTTAGTTATCAACATTCAAATATATAAACAATGATATGAATCTCTGGTTTATGACAGGTTTTTCAAGTAATATTGGAACTATATCAATGGCTATCATTCAGGTATCTGAATGATAGAAATTTGAGCAAATGCATATGTTCTGCTTGATGCATTTCTGAGTTTTGCAAACTCTTTTGCAGATTCCAGCTACTGCTGTGTCAGTACTTGTAGCAGATAAATGTGGACGACGTCCTCTACTTATGGTTAGAATGTGAAATTAATCTTATCAAAAAAAAAAAATAAAGGTGAAATTAATGGTTTGTGATGAGGTTGATTTACGAAGTGCAAATTAATAGTCAAATTTCTTATATTTCCAGGTTTCTGCCACTGGAATGTGCTTGAGTAGCTTCCTCGTTGGATTAGCATTTTGCCTGCAAAACAAGTTTACTTCTATTCTGGTCTACATTGGCATACAGGTTATCTTCTACAGATTATTTGTAGTATTCTGTTTGACATACACTAAAAGACAATCTGATCTAGCTTTAAAAGATTTTGAGCTTGGTTTAAGTTGGTAGGAAGGTTGTTTTACATTCCACAGTCTAAGAGGGAAAGTCATTTGATTGATTTTGGGGAAGGCAACAGTTGCTGGGATAGCAATGTAGAAATTTCCTTTCCACTTGACACTTTGCAGGAACAAGGACTTAGCAGCTGATGATCTTGACTCCCTTTTTCTCTTTAGTTAATCCTCACAGAGCCTAGATTTTTATGTTGTAATATGAATCCATGCTGCACTGTTTCAGGGTTTTAGTGTTGCTTATGGCCTAGGCATGGCAGGCTTAGCATCGGTTGTGATGTCAGAGGTTTGTATCTTTATTACTGTTTCAAAGTTTGAGAAAATCAGTATAAACATGATGACTAACTATTCAGCTTCCATTTTAGATATATCCAATAAACATCAAGGGTTCAGCCGGAAGCCTATCAACTTTAGTCAAATGGTCAACGTCTTGGATTGTGTCATTCACCTTCAATTTTATGGCTGAATGGAGCGAAGCAGGTCTTTCTCTCTCTTCGCAAAAGTTTAAGTTCTTAGCCAGGCAAGAAGAGTCTAGGAATAAAACTCATTAAAATTAGCTTAAGTGGTTAATGAGTCACTCAAATCATGTTAAGAATGTAGTTTCAAATTCCTCTAATGTCATCTAAGTATAAACAATTCTAACGGGTCATGCCTACCATCCTTGAAGGTGGAGTTTTAGGTGGAGTTTTACGCAACACTTGTTGGCAGATGGTTTGCAAGTATTTGTGAGATTAATTGGGCTAAAAGCCTAAATACTGATATTATCTTAAAAAAGGGTCTAGGAATAATATAAATCTCATAGATACCCCCTCACACATTTACTATGAACTGAACTCTGTTTTAATATATCAAAAACTTGAATCTTGGACCACTGAAGTCAAGGGCTCAAATATCTTGTTAATATTCTCAAGTAAAGGTTTTAGCTAATAAGTGAAGAGATAGTTTTAATCCCAGACATCAGCACTGATTTGTGTATGCAGGTACATTTTTCATATACTCGGCAGTCTGCTGTCTTGGTGTTGTATTTGTCGCAAAGCTAGTTCCAGAGACTAAAGGACGAACATTAGAAGAAATACAAGCATCAGTTGCACATTCTTAGCAATAAGATGTGTTATGTGGAAATCCCACGTTTGGAAAATAAAGAGAGAATTTGTGTGTTTAAATATAGTATATTTATTTGATTTGACTGATTTTGTTACTTTATAATTAGTTAGAATGTTTAAAAGTATTGAGTTAATTTCAAATTTTTAAATAATAGGTAAGTATTTTATAAATTATCAATTAATAATTATAATTATTAGTTATTTCTTATAATCAAATCAAATAAATTTATAATTTATCTATGTGAATTTTTTTTTTTTTGTATTAACCCCTTAGTATTCAAAAATCACGTTGGGTTATGATTAATCTAGAGTTGAATCGGGTCGAACTCCATATGGGAAAGCTCTTTTAATACTTATTTTTCTATTTATAAAATTTAAATTTAAAATTTTATTTAAAATAAATCGAATTCTTTCTACTCGATTATTTACCTATTTAACAAATGTTTGTAGAGTCATAACTCATAACCATCGTGTGGGTTTGTCCCGTGGTAGTAGGTAGTTGTTGGTTTGCGGAGAGGATTTCATTTGGTTCTTTGGGTGAGTCGTGGATTTGATGGGACGATCTTCCAATTCTAGAGCAGCAGGTTGGGGATACATGTGATCAGTATAAGGCGTGTTGGTAGGTCGACTTAGGTTTGCTGCACAGTAGAGGTTTGTTGGGTCATTTTTGTGTCTGTACCGGACCTTAGTAGCCTGTTCCCATCTCTTAATTTGAGTGGAAGGCTAGTCTTCCCTGAAAAAGACC